TACAAACGCACTTACATAAATACACTTACATAATTGGCCGCATTTGGAGGTGATCGTTAAGCGGAGGTCCACTGTACTGTAATGTAATGTACAATCATTATTTCATTCTTTTTACCATAATTTACTTCTATTGTTATATTTTAATTATTTACGTACTGTATATAATGTATACATGGTAGTGAACTGCATTGTAAATTTTACATCACATACAGTATCATATGCTACTGTTATCTTTATGTATTGTCGACACAGTGGAATGGGAGAATACCACTGGTAGTGTCATCCTGCCAGAATGTTGTATAACCTATACCCTAAGTAAAGAGAAACAACTCTGGAACATGTGTAATACGTATCCGGTTGGCTGGCTGGGTGGGTGGCCTTGTGGGTGGCTGGGTGGGTAGCCGGGTGGGTGGCTGGGTGGGTAGGTGGGTGGGTAGGTGGGTGGGTGGGTGGTTGGCTGACTGAATGTGGATGTCTCTCTGTATCTCTCTCTCTCTCTCTCTCTCACACAGGTACACATAAGTGAAGTTATCATACATAGTATAAATTACCTAGGAAACCCAAAAAATCCAGACAAAGTGCTACACAGTGGATCTGTGATCCAGTGCCCTAAATTAATAATAATAATAATAATAATAATTATTATTATTACAATAATACATATGTACTAATATTAATAATATTATTATTAAACTATAATATAATAATCGTGTTCATTCATTGCTTACCTTAAAATATCTTTAGTCTTAATGTAGAGTTGGTGTGGCTTAATGGGAAACAATTACCAAGAAACAATTAACCCCGGAGGGTTAGCCACCCAGGATAACCCAAGAAAGTCAGTGTGTCACCGAGGACTGTCTAACTTATTTCCATTGGGGTCCTTAATTAATCTTGTCCCCCAGGATGCGACCCACACCAGTCAACTAACACCCAGGTGAACAGGAAAAAATGCCTGGAACTAGTGCTCATATTGGTGAATTTAACCCCTTGACTGTTGCAACCACAAATCCTGAGGTGTCTCCTGGTGTCGCAAAGTTTCAAAAAAAAAAAAAAAAAATTTTCTTATGAAATGATAGAGAATCTTTTCCCAATTGTAATGATACCAAAAAAAAGAAATCTGATGGAAAACTGATGGAGTTACGCTCTCAAGAAGTTAGCGACCTCGGCAATATTTACAAATCGGCAATTTTGCCCACTTTGAGCCCTATTTTTGGCTAATTACATTGTTCAAGTCGACCAAATTCATAGCTATTTCTTTAGAATTCCATTTTTTCTATCAATTGAGTACAAGAAACCGCCCATTTACCAATTTCAACTACCCAATAATGTGGTCAGAAATTTGCAATTTGGCCAATTTCACGAAAATTAAAAAATATGACAATTTCAAAACAGGGTCCAGAATGAACAATGCAGACATTCCTGGCTCTAAAATAACATTTTCTTTGTTCATCAGTCACGTCTCCAGGCTCCTCTGATATTACTCTTGCTTTCTATTTTGAATGTTTATTCAAACAAAAAAATAGAAGATTTACTGTTATGCAGACTACTGCAATACTGTAATAATTGTATAAATAACATCAACCCATTCATGACTGCATATTAGAATGGCTAGTTGGACATTTATTGGAAAATGACATCATTTGTTTACCTTTGAACATCGGCAAAAATCAAATATTTCCCCTACTTTGAGCTCCATTTCAAGGTTCTTTTCATAGTAAAATCAATCAAAATCACCTCAATTTCTATAATATATTTTCAATTCTATCAAATGAGACCAAGAAAACGAAAATACAACCATAAATACTATACGAAAATAGACCACAAAGTCGGCATTTTAATTGAAAAAAATGTCGGAGTTTTTTTTTCTCATTATGCACTGCGTGCTGCAGGATTTTTTTTATGTGATGCACACTGACCACACAGACCCATTCTCTCACATGTGGGCCTACCAGCTTTCTCCTGCTTGATTTGAAGCCGCTAGAATTTATGAGTATATATACGTCAAAAAACTTTGGCTCGTAAGACGTATATATACAACCAAAAAAGTCAAAGGGTTAAGGCCAGCAATGGTTGGTTTGAGAGATTTAACCCTTTCAGGGTCGAGAGGCCCTCTCCTAAACTTGTTCTCAGAGTCAAAAAATTTTCGGAAAAAAAAAATTATTTTTTCTTATGAAATGATGGAGAATCTTTTCCCGATCATAATGACACCAAAAGTATGAAATTTGATGGAAAACTTACTGAATTATGCTCTCACGAAGTTAGCCATCATGCCGATCTTTACGCATCAGCGATTTTGTCCACTTTGAGCCCTATTTTCGGCCAATTCCTCTGTACTAGTCGACAAAAATCATATTTATTTCGCTAGAACTCCATTTTTTCTATCCAATGAGTACAAGAAACCACCCATTTACCAATTTCAACTATCCAATAAAGTGGTTAGAAATTGGCAATTTTGCCAATTTCACACAAATTTCAGAAGTTGCCAATTTCCAAATAGATTCCAGAATAAACAAGACAGACATTCCTGGCACTAAAATAACAAGTTCTCTGTTCGTTAGTCACATCCCCAGGCCCCTCTTATATTTCTTTTGCTTTCCACTTTGAATTTGTATTCTCACAAAAAATAGAAGATTTACTGTTATACAGACTACTGCATTAGTGTAGAAATGGTATAAATAATATCAGCGCACTTGTGAAAGAATATCAGACTCACCAGTTGATGTATATTGGATGCTTGGCATGATTTGTTTACTTTTGAAATTTGGTAAAAATTTATTATTTCTGCTACTTTGAGCTCAATCTCAAGGTACTTTTTATTGTGAAACTAATCAAAATCATCTCAATTTCTGTAATATGTCTTCCATTCTATAAAATGAGACCAGGAAAACTAGAATACACCCATAAATACCATATGAAAATACAGTGCAAAGTCGCTGTTTTAATCCGAAAACACTGTCAAAGTTTTTTTTCTCATTACACACTGTGTGCTGCAGGATTTTTTTTATACTGTGCACACTGACCACATAGACCCATTCTTTCACATGTAGGCCTACCAGCTTTCTCTCGCTAGATTTGAAGGTGCTAGAATTTAGGTGTTCTAGTACGTCAATAATCCTGGTGCCTAAGCCGTACTAGTAAGTCGAAAACCCTAAAAGGGTTAAGAATTGTAGTGGCATACACAGTGTGATAAGGCATGGTGAAGCTGAAAAATTCCAACCCCAACAAGTGTTCAATTGTGACGAAACAGGCCTGTTCTGGAAGAAAATGCCAAACAGGACCTACATTACTCAGGAGGAAAAGGCACTCCCAGAGCACAAGCCTATGAAAGACAGGCTAACTCTCATGTTTTGTTGTAATGCTAGTGGGGATTGCAAAGTCTTTACTGGTGTATCACTCTGAAAATTCCAGTGTTCAAGAAAAACAGTGACTCATCACTCATCAATACTCTTCAATAAAGGTAAGTGTCATTTTAACATTTATTTATATAGTTATTGTGCATGTCTCATTGTTTTCTTTGTAGGGAAATGTATATTTCATGAAAAAAAATTATTTTTTTAATACTTTTAGCTGTCTGGAACGGATTAATTGGATTTCCATTATTTCTTATGGGGAAAATTAATTCGGCTAACGATAATTCCGTCAAACAATAAGCTCTCAGGAACAGATTAATATCGTTAGCCGAGGGTCCACTGTATATATAGTACCTAAATGAGTAATGAAATAGATAATAAACATTTAAATAAACATTTAAAATCACATGTATGTACCTTTATTGAAGACTCTTGTTGGCATCTGGAAGATAGGGAGGAGGAGAGAGGGAGGACTTATTATTGCCTCAACCACTGCCTCAAGCACTGCCTCAAGCACTGCCTCGACCACTGCCTCAACCACTGCCTCAACCACTGCTTCAATCAATGCCTTAACCACTGCCTCACCCACTGCCTCAGCCCTGCCTCAACCACTGCCTCAACTACTGACTCAGCCAGTGCCTCACCAACTGCCTCAACCAATGCCTCAACCACTGTCTCAACCACTGCCTCAGCCACTGCCTCATCCACTACCTCATCCACTGCCTCAACCACTGCCTCAACCACTGTGGCAGTGATAGAGGCAGTGGCACTGCCTCCACCACTGTGGATATTGACGTTGTGTTAGTGGTGGGCAGGTGTGGAAGCCCAGGAGGGATGTTCCTGTCCAGGACAGGTTCATTCAGTGGCTGAGACACAACCTTCACACACAATACTGGCACGCACTCACCCACCCACCCACCCATTCCTCTCACATTCACCCCTACATCTTCCCACCCTCTCACAGTGGCTGAGACAGTGGTGGAGGCAGTCCCACTGCCTCCACCACTTCCTCCACCACTGCCTCAACCACTGCCTCAACCACTGCCTCAACCACTGTTCACTCGAGGATAAACAAAGCCACACTGACTCATCATGCCTGCGCAGACAGGTCTGATACTCCAGCCAAAACTCAGGGCACAGTGCGAAACTAGAGACAAAATTTAGCCAAAAAAAGCAATCAAAACTCAAAGCAGTCGAAGCTCGGGGTTCCACTATACGTGTAAATGAAAAACAACTTATATATAGGGTTCACTACTATCTGAGGCAGGTACAGCCTCTCCTCGCTTAGTGACATACTCGTTTACTGATGACTTGGACTTATGACTGGCTCTCTGATTAGTATTAATACCTAAATAATGTATATTAGAGCTAATTTCCTCTATTCTGTATAATACAATATACAGTACACTACTGTATAAACATTTAAAAATATAACAGAAACGTTATAAATGGTGCAAAGGTGACATTAAAACAATATCATAGATGGTTGACACAAACTCGTTACCATTGTAGTATGCTCCTCAGTGACGAATTCATTTGCCAATGTGGTTTTAGGAACGAAACTCATTAAGTGAGGAGAGGCTTTTGGAATGCAACCCCTGCAGATACAGGGGTCCTACTGTACATACTGTGTTAAATGAAAAGACTTACAGCTTTGCTATAAGCAGCCTTGCAGTGCTTAAGTGACTCCATCTTGGAGTCGACAGTGAAGAACAGTGCCAGGTAGGCATTACCCAAGACCAACCACGAGTGACCATCACTCATATCCAGCTGTATTGCCTTCCTAGCATATTCCAAACCCTGAAACATAATAGAAATAATTAGAGAAAAGAAATGAAGGACAAAATGCTTGAGAATAAAGCAGATTGACATGAAACAATGACAATAATTATTTTTTAACAATTACTTTTTGTTTCAATGGACCAGCTGTATCTCATCTAAGCAGGATGACCTAAAAAGAAAAAAACTAAAGTTTTTATTATTAAATTTAGTAATTTATACAGAAGGGGCTACTAGCCCCTTGCTCCCTGTAATAATAATTAGGTAGTAGGTTGGTAGACAGCAACCATCCAGGGAGGTACTACTGTCCTGCCAAGTGAGTGTGAAACAACAGCCACCCAGGGAGGTACTACTGTCCTGCCAAGTGAGTGTGAAACAACACCACCCAGGGAGGTACTACTGTCCTGCCAAGTGAGTGTGAAACAACAGCCACCCAGGGAGGTACTACTGTCCTGCCAAGTGAGTGTGAAACAACAGCCACCCAGGGAGGTACTACTGTCCTGCCAAGTGAGTGTGAAACAACAGCCACCCAGGGAGGTACTACTGTCCTGCCGAGTGAGTGTGAAACAACAGCCACCCAGGGAGGTACTACTGTCCTGCCAAGTGAGTGTGAAACAACAGCCACCCAGAGAGGTACTACTGTCCTGCCAAGTGAGTGTGAAACAACAGCCACCCAGGGAGGTACTACTGTCCTGCCAAGTGAGTGTGAAACAACAGCCACCCAGGGAGGTACTACTGTCCTGCCAAGTGAGTGTGAAACAACAGCCACCCAGGGAGGTACTACTGTCCTGCTGAGTGAGTGTGAAACAACAGCCACCCAGGGAGGTACTACTGTCCTGCTGAGTGAGTGTGAAACAACAGCCACCCAGGGAGGTACTACTGTCCTGCCAAGTGAGTGAAACAACAGCCACCCAGGGAGGTACTACTGTCCTGCCAAGTGAGTGTGAAACAACAGCCACCCAGGGAGGTACTACTGTCCTGCCAAGTGAGTGTTTAAACAACAGCCACCCAGGGAGGTACTACTGTCCTGCTAAGTGAGTGTGAAACAACAGCCACCCAGGGAGGTACTACTGTCCTGCCAAGTGAGTGTGAAACAACAGCCACCCAGGGAGGTACTACTGTCCTGCCAAGTGAGTGTGAAACAACAGCCACCCAGGGAGGTACTACTGTACTGTCCTGCCGAGTGAGTGTGAAACAACAGCCACCCAGGGAGGTACTACTGTCCTGCCAAGTGAGTGTGAAACAACAGCCACCCAGGGAGGTACTACTGTCCTGCCAAGTGAGTGTGAAACAACAGCCACCCAGGGAGGTACTACTGTCCTGCCGAGTGAGTGTGAAACAACAGCCACCCAAGGAGGTACTACTGTCCTGCTAAGTGAGTGTGAAACAACAGCTACCCAGGGAGGTACTACTGTCCTGCCGAGTGAGTGTGAAACAACAGCCACCCAGGGAGATACTACTGTCCTGACAAGTGAGTGTGAAACAACAGCCACCCAGGGAGGTACTACTGTCCTGCCAAGTGAGTGTGAAACAACAGCCACCCAGGGAGGTACTACTGTCCTGCGACTGTGAAACAGAAACCTGTAATTGTCTTACATGATGGAAGGATTAATTGGGTCTTTTTTTTTGTCTTGTAAACACTCTGGATACAAAGTATATCTTGCTACTTCTACTTACACTTAGCTCACACTACACATGAATATACAAGCATATATATATATACACACCCCTCTGGGTTTTCTTCTATTTTCTTACCAATTCTTGTTCTTGTTTATTTTCTCTTATCTCCATGGGGAAGTGGAACAGAATTCTTCCTCCGTAAGGCATGTGTCATAAGAGGCGACTAACCTGCCGGGAGCAAAGGGCTAGTAACCCCTTCTCCTGTATACATTACCAAAGTTAAAAAGAAAAACTTTCATTTTTTCTTTTTAGGTCACCTTGCTTAGATGGGATACAGCCAGTTCAGTGAAAAAAAAAATCATAATTTTTTAACACATCAGGCACCTCCCACCACGGCAGGTGTCACCTGAAACAGGAGAAACAAAAGTTTTTCTTAATTTTACATTAAATAATTTATATAGAAGGGGTTACTAGCCGCTTGCTAATATTAATACAGCCTCTCCTCACTTAGCGACGTACTCGTTTACCGATGCCTCGGACTTACGATGCTCTCTGACCAGGATGCATACCTAAATAATGCATATTAGAGCTGATTTCCTCTATTCTTTTCATTACAATATACAGTACACTACTGTATAAATATTTAAAAATATACCAGAAATGTTATAAATGGTGCAAAGATGACATTAAAACAATATCAAAGATAGTTGACACACACTCACTACCATTATAGTGTGCGCCTCACTTAACGACAAATTTGTTTACCGACGAGGTCTTACGAATGAAACTCAATCGTTAAGTGAGGAGAGGCTGTAATACTAATACAGTGGACCATCAACCAGCGATGGCATCGATTAACGATAAATCTGACTAGCGATACATTTTAACGCAAAAATTTTACCTCGACTAGCGCTTAACCCTTTGAGGGTCCATCCCATAGATCTACGGCTTTACGTTCAGGGTCCAAACCGTAGATCTACGTCATGAGCTCAGCTCACTCTGATAAACTGTGAGTGGTACATTTGGGCCTAGATATGAGAGAATACATCTATGTGGTATGTGTGCACCACATAAAACAGATCCTGCAGCACGCTGTGTATAATGAGAGAAAAAACTTAAATCATGATTTTTCGATTAAAACAGCGACTTTGCAGTGTTTTTTCATATGTTTTTTATAGTTCTATTTGCGATTTCTTGGTCTCATTTGATAGAATGGAAGACATATTACAGAAATAGAGATGATTATGATTGGTTTTAGCACTGGAAATGGCTTGAAACTGAGCTCAAAGTAGCAGAAATGTTAAATTTTTGCCGATATTCAAGAGTAAACAAACGACCTCACACGTCTAATACACGCCAGCTGGTGGGTCTAATATGCATTCACAAATATGGTGATGATATTTATACAATTATTACAGTATTGCATAACAGTAAATCTTCTATTTTTTGGTGTGAATAAAAATTCATTATGTGAATAAAAAATCAAAATGGAATTTATTTGTAAAGCCTCAAAACATAACTAATGAACAGATGAAATGTTAGTTTAGTTCCAGGAATACCTACATTGTTTATTCTGGATCCTATTTTGAAATTGGAATATTTTGAACTTTGTGTTAAATTGGCCAAATTAACAATTTCCAATCACTTTAATTTGTAGTTGAAACAGTTGACTTGGCGATTTCTTGTGCTCAATTGATAGAATAGAAGTAATACTAGTGAAATAGCTAAGAATTTGGTTGACTGGAATAATGTAATTGGCCTAAAATGGGAGTCAAAGTTGGCAAAATCGCCGATTCGTAAATATCGCTGACACATCAAAATTCGCGAGAGCATAATTTCGTCAATTTTCCATCAAATTTCGTACTTTTTGTTTTATTACCTTAACAAAAAGATTCTCTACTATTTCATAAGAAAAAATAACAAATTTTTTTTTTTGAAAATTCTTGGACACTGGGGCACCACTTCAGATTTGGGCCTTGGACCCTGAAGGGGTTAAAAACCCGACCAGCGCTATTCGTTCCGTACGAGACTCGTCCACCTTGGCCTGAGCGCACCTCACTTGTCCCGTGGGTGCCAGTGTTTACAAGCCAGCCACCACAGTCGCTTCCAAACATACAACTGGAACATTTCATATTATCACAGCCTTTGTAGTGATTGCACCTGCAAAATAAGTCACCATGGGCCCCAAGAAAGCTTCTAGTGCCAACCCTACAGCAAAAAGGGTGAGAATTACTATGGAGATGAAGAAAGAGATCATTGCTAAGTATGAAAGTGGAGTCCGTGTCTCTGAGCTGGTCAGGTTGTATAATAAACCCCAATCAACCATCGCTACTATTGTGGGCAAGAAAACGGCAATCAAGGAAGCTGTTCTTGCCAAAGGTGCAACTATGTTTTCGAAACTGAGATCGCAAGCGGTAGAAGATGTTGAGAGACTCATGGGTGTGGATAAACGAGAAACAGATAGCAGGAGATAGCATCTCTCAAGCGATCATATGTGAAAAGGCTAGGAAGTTGCATGACGATTTAATTAAAAAAATGCCAGCAACTAGTGATGTGAGTGAATTTAAGGCCAGCAAAGTTTGGTTTGAGAGATTTGAGAAGCGTAGTGACATTCATAGTGTGATAAGGCATGGTGAGGCTGCCAGTTCGGACCACAAAGCGGCTGAAAAATATGTGCAGGAATTCAAGGAGTACATAGACAGTGAAGGACTGAAACCTGAACAAGTGTTTAATTGTGACGAAACAGGCCTGTTTTGGAAGAAAATGCCAAGCAGGACGTACATTACTCAGAAGGAAAAGGCACTCCCAGGACATAAGCCTATGAAAGACAGGCTTACTCTGTTGATGTGTGCCAATGCTAGTGGTGATTGCAAAGTGAAGCCTTTATTGGTGTATCACTCTGAAACTCCCAGAGTGTTCAGGAAAAACAATGTCGTCAAGGCTAATTAGTGTGTACCATCCTGAAGTAGTAAGTTGGTAGACAGCAACCACCCTGGAAGGTACTACCATCCTGCAGTAGTAGGTTGGTAGACAGTAACCACCCAGGGAGGTACTACCATCCTGCAGTAGTAGGTTCGTAGACAGTAACCACCCAGAGAGGTACTACCATTCTGCAGTAGTAGGTTGGTAGATAGCAACCACCCTGGGGGGTACTACCATTCTGCAGTAGTAGGTTCATAGACAGTAACCACCCAGGGAGGTACTACCATCCTGCAGTAGTAGGTTGGTAGACAATAACCACCTAGGGAGGTACTACCATGCTGCAGTAGTAGGTTGGTAGACAGTAACTACCCAGGGAGGTACTACCGTCCTGCAGTAGTAGGTTCGTAGACAGCAACCACCAGAGAGGTACTACCGTCCTGCAGTAGTAGGTTGGTAGACAGCAACCACCCAGGGAGGTA